TTCTGTTTATTAGCAATGTTGAAAACAGCTTTGGTGCTTTATATTGTGGAAACAGTGATACGTCTTGATGAATAGCAAGTTAAAAATAAAACAGCAGCATTTATTTTAAACTAAAATACAAGTGTTGCATACAGTCACTTTCAATCAATTTAATAAATTCTTGCTAAATAAAAGCATTAATTTCTTAAAAATTTTTTTTACCAATACATGCGTATTATGTGCACACAGATAAGCATCATTACATTCAGATTTTAAATACATTTAATTTAAAGGAAACTGATCTTCCCATGCAGTCTTAAAGCAATCACCTCACAGATATGTACTTACATCTGCACTGACATTCAGTTGTGATCATTTAGTAGATTTTTCTTCATCTGTCAGTCCAGTAATCTATAATTAAAGCAACACAGTGCAATCAACCACAATTCCATGTGATTTTCAATGAGATCAAAGCGTCAGTTTCTTGATGTTTCGCAGCCCCCCCGAGCGGCTCACGCAGCAGTGCAGTCCAATCTTCTGACAGCCTTGGGTTAGCTTTACTTTGACTGATACCGCTGGCTGCGGCTCTCCATAGGTTCCTCACATATACCACAGGTGTAAAAAAATAATGTTTATAAACAGTGTTAATAATTCATCAGTGCTGACCTGCCTCGCAATGGCCTTGTTGTGAGAGGGGGATTAATAATTTGTGGATGTGAGAGTAAAGCCCGCCGGCAGACAGAATTGACTGACAGACGCTATGAAGTGATCGCTGAGACAGACAGGCCGGAGAACCGGACCACTACATCCTTCTAGTGATGGTGACCACCATTACAGCAGCGCCCGTGGCTGTAGCGCTGCATTTTTAACCTCTTAGCCTTGGAAAAGGATTGTTGCTTTTCTTTTTTTATAGTTTCAAAGAAGATTTTAATTCAAAAATTACAAAATTCTCAAAGGCAAATAGCTATAATAATTTTAGAACTGTGTGTGTGTGTACACACACACACACACACATATAGTCTTTTTTTATGTTTTTGAAAGAAGTCTCTTATGCTCTTTTTAATTTTTGGGTGAACTATTGCTTTAATTTGAATCGAGGTGTGCTTGTTTGTCTTGGTGCTGTGAAATTAGCATTTAAGCGCGAGCACTACAAGCTTTTCTGTTTTAAGAACAATCTTTGCTTCTTCCCTTGAACAAGCTTTTCCAGCACACGAAGGAGCATAATTGCTGTGTTGTGTGTTTAGTAGCAAGAAGAATTATAATGGTTAGTCCACAATACAAAGGGCGCTTCATCTATTAGCCCACGCAACATGCTAACAACACAGTGTTTATTCAAGGATTACATCTCTTTAGTGCGGCCGGTGTACACTCTTAAAAATAAAGGTGCTTCAAAAGGTTCTTCAAGCGATGCCATAGAAGAACCATTTTTGATTCCACAAAGAACCATTCAGTCAAAGGTTCTTTAAAGAACCATCTCTTTCTTAACTTTTTGTAATCTGAAGAACCTTATCTAGACACAAAGCACCTTTTGTGAAACAGAAAGGTTCTTCAGATGTTAAAGGTTCTTTATGGAACCATTTAGACAAAAAGGTTCTTCTATGGCATCGTGAGGAACCTTTATTTTTAAGAGTGTAGTGCCGAAATTTGCACCCTGCCAGATTATGCACCCCCTAGTATTGGTAGGTTTAGGAGTAGGTGTGGGGGAGGGATTAGGATTAGGGGGGGGGTTGGGATTAGGCAATCAGGTAGCGACTTCAACGAGGGGTGCATAATCTGGCAGGGGTGCTGAATTCGGCACAACACCGGAAACACATTTGGTGCAGAGGTTCTTTTTTCATTCCTGTCAAAATTACTTTTTCAAGAAAAACAGCTACTACTGAGCCCTTGTGGAAAACAAGGACAATTACTTTGATGTGAAAATTACCCATTAGCCATCGCTAATTCGAGTACAGTGGCTTGACCACACCTTTTAGTAAGTTTGTCCTTAATGCTTTTCAATAAGACATAGAAGACATAGAAACGGAAGTTAAAAACTAGAGAAAGTCGTTGTGCTGTTTCCCATCAGACATTCTCTGCTCGTATATACTGTATATGACATCAAAGCCCGCGGCGGCAGGTTATTTCTGTACTTGGCAGTCTGGAGTGGATCTCAGAAGACTCGTCTGTCTTTATACGAGTCTCTGCTGCAGCCTGGGCCTTGACTACTTAAAGAAGCACCTTCACCCTTTTGAGTTCTCATTATCTTTGATGTTGGTCCTGTACAGGTGGGCATGAGGGCTGAGAGCACGGCCCACGTAATGGCCTTGTGTCTATCAAAACTTTCAATATCTATTTCTTTGTGTTTGAAACAGTTTTTGTCACATCTTGACTTTGTTAGATATTTTAAGTGGTACATGTAATATGCAAATGTTATAAACAGCAGTGTTGCCTATTGTCATTGTCATAATGCATTGTTTGCTGTCTCTTTGTCTAGAAATTTTGTATTTATTTATTTTTTTGCTGTCCAACCCAGCTAAAAAGAAATGTTCTCAGAACTTTGGAAAGCATTCCGGCAAGGTTTTCAAAATTATGAACAAACATTCTTCCAGTAACGTTAATAGAATGTTTGTTCTAAGTTACGTTGTTTTAAATAATGTTCTCAAAAACATTATTTATACAATGTTAACTTTTTTAGTTGGACATTCGTGAGATTTTTTAAATGTTACTACTTGTTTCAGAGCATGTTTAGTTTGCATTGAGAAAACATTTAGTTTGCAAAACGTTCATATAACCAAATAATTAAAAATTAAATTAAAAAAATTGACATTTTGAACATTTCTGATAACATTCAGAAATAACATTTTCATAAATTAATGGGAACGTTAGCAAAACATTGTTAGAAAACAAATTTTGTTAGCTTGGAGTCAAATCAAATAAAGAGGTTAAAAATCATGTTTGATATTGCATCTAGTTCATGCATGTTGCTGGACATGGAAGGTCAAGTCGAGTGCCTTGCATTATGAGATACAGCATACAATGCCTGGTCAAAGACTTTAGATCTACAAAGACGGTGCACTGATATTACTTATGAATGGGAGAAAGTGTACTGTAACTGGAAAAAGCCAGAAACCAGGGCCTTGGTGCCTTTTTCTTCAGTCTTATATCTCGCATATGAGTGTGCAGACTTTTTTCAAGTATTTTACTTTTGAGAAAGTGCAACATGCAATATGCCGGTATAGTCCCGCCTTCTGAATAAAAGAGCCAATCACTAATTAATAAAGCCATCACGTCCTTGTAGCTGCCGTTAGAAGTTCTCCTTGCTATAGAAACAGTCAGTGTCCCGAGACACGTTTAACGACTGCACATGCTTATTGCCTGGTCTAGCCTGAAAAATATTTGAGCATAAAAAACAAAATTTATGCTACAGATGTTGTCAGATTTCATTAGTGATTTCAAATATGAAATTTTACCGTAAGCTCGGTCAACAGCTTTGAAGAATTGAATATTTCCCCTTTCAAAGAGATAGGAGCTGTACTTGCATGACTGGAATAGTTCAATGATGGCCGCCGAGTGAAATGACTTGCCTTAAAGGGACTTTTGTGGCGTGCTGCAGTACCAAATTTCAAATGGAATGATTAAATGAACGAAAATCCTGAAATGTTCACGCACAAATGGCACCGTTTCAGCAGAATGACCCCATAACAGTTTAGCTTCCTCAGTGTCTGTAGGACTGTAAAGAGGTGCAGATGTTCAGCTGTCATTACTAGAGGCCGAGGGATCGTGAAACGACAAACAGAAATTCAGCGCTTCAGGAAAGTTGCTGTTCAACATTTTGGTCCCTTTATTAATGTCATCACAATTCCAAGCAAAAGAACCACCATGGTCATGAAATCACCAGCTCTATATACCACTTTGCTAGACAAATAAATGATAAATAATCATTGAAAATAAGTAAAAATACACATAGTGAAGTAAAACATAAAAGCAGGCAGTGAATTCATGAAAATTCAAAAAGACACAGTCCAAAAAAAGAGTAAGTGCCGTAACCTTGTGTGATGGCTGGTTTTCAGCGAAACATTCATATATTCTTCTAAAAAATACAGTTCAGAAGCTCAGAAACAAATATCACAGTCATATCACAGTTTTCGTGCAAAACTCTTGGATTTACAATTAAATTCACTAGCTTTTATCACACTGAAAAATGCAGATGCCCAGTTTTAGAAAGCTTGAGGAGTTTGAAAAGCGTCTCAACCAAACTGTGGTTTAGAACAGAGTCACCAGCTGTTTAATGGTCCAAATGCAGCTACGCATTGTTCATGATATGCATCTTGTCTGTAGTTTGGTGGCAGTCCTTCTATTTAATGTGAGAAATTGGCACTTCAAATCAAATGATGCAACAGGATTACAAATACATACCAATACTTTGGGGGTGAATCTCACAAAAAAAATGGCCAAAACATATTAAAAAAATATATAATTATGTATTTATTTATTTTCAATTAAGCAAATGAAGCTTATTTTTAAGTGTATACTTTCATATTCTTGACAATTATTTTCTTTCGCATTACAACAGACTATTCAAAATTAAGATATTACTGGTCCAAAAATAGCCTCCATTTTCATGATGCTAAATATAATTTCTCATAATACAACAGTATATCATTATTTGTGAGATTCACCCTTGGAGGTAACAGACATATAAAGTGCGATTGACAAACAGAAAATACTTTAGATACATATTTAATCTTTAACATTCACTGCCTACGTCAAGAAACCAAAACCCGAAATGGCAACATCTAATTTTAGAAAGAACAAACACTAAAAGAAAAGACAGAACGCCAATAGAACAAATATTACCCAAAACGTCCAACCTTTGAAAAATCTTTATGCTGGTCTGTAGGCGAGCGGCGTACGTGTGAGAGAAAGCAGGCAGAGTGAAAACGCACCAAAGGGAGGAACCACAAAAATCATCAGAATAACAAAAATATCCGTCCTCACGTTTCTCTGCAAATTCGCTTAAGCTTTGTTTTGATTTTTTTTTTGATTTTCTTTAAATCTGTACAGAGCGCAGGGAAAGTCTATTTGGTTATTCCCAGCTGGCATGTAGAAAGAAGCTTTTTTTTAACCGTTGTTCTTTACATTGAAGGGGAACATTCAAGGCGTATAGCTAAAAAGGAATAGGACTGTACAAGATCACTTCACGGTCCAGGATACACGCTCTGATGCTGGACATTGACAGAAGAAGAAAGAAATGGCAAATAACGTTTTGTTTCATTTATACAGTATTTTACAGCGAAGGGTTGAACTTTAGTATCCTGTTCACAGAAGCTCAGAGGAACGACTGCACGATGAGTCTGTGATGAGATGAGATGTCATTCTGAGGAAGCAGAGAAGATTGCTTTGCTTGTTTTTCTCCCTTTTTCACCTCTCGAACGTTCAGAAGGCATTCAAGCTCTCCAGAGCCACCTCATAACAGAATTTGTACTGCTCCTAAACAAAAACAGAAGCAGTAGCAACAATGCATTAGCAGTTCAAAGGCAGACGCCTCTCAGGGGAGATTTCCCTATAACCCCTGCGTTAATAATGCAACCCCATCATTATACAGTCACTTTTATTAGAGGAAAAGCATCTGCTTATAATAGAGAAAGTCTCATCAGCCGTCTAGATGTCAGAGGGTTCCTTTTAAATGAATTTATTAATAGATACATTTCTTTTCCAGCCTAACGGCCAATGGTAACCTGACGTTAGTCCTATTTTGGTCCAGCATCATATCAGATGCACAGCTGTGGAGTTTTTCGGTTCTCTCCAGCAGAGCGAGATGTTTATAGTACAGTCAGCAGAAGAGGTGTAGGACAGATGTCTAATTGCACCTGCAGCAGCCTCCCATTCCACTCAAGACGTTCTCTCAGAATTGTAGAAAGTGCGGCTGTGTGTCTCAGGGGTTTGAGGTGAATGAGTAATTTAGGGCTGTGCGATATTGAAGAAAAATGCGATATGCGATACCTTGTTAAACAATGCGATATTCGATATGCGATACGATATTGCTTAAAGTGTGTAAAATCAATTTAAATGATATTTTAAAATATATAACCAATTTGTTTCACATTCTTTCTTGGAAAAGAAAGAATCACTATAACTTCTGAAAGTGACCAGCAGTGTTTTAGCAGTACATAAAAAGTAATGTACCAATTTAGAACATCAGTGTGAACATACAAACAAATAAAATAAATGTCACTAATTTTATATCATTGTAACTTTGCTTTCCACAAACTTTAAGTACTTCTTCATATACCACAGCAAATAAAATAAACAGTAGTATTCAGGTACAGCAATGTAATAATTAAGTGTAAGATAACACTGCATAGTGTTCACTGTATGAATTAAATTTAGATTAATCTTTGTTATAGCTGTTTTGTTGTTTGATTAACATTAGTGACATATTCAGCAGCACGTATTTATAGGCTACTGTCCCTTTAAAACCGACTGCACGGATCCAGTATAATGATACACATTTGATTTCTTTCTCAGCTGTTTACATTCATTTAAAACATAACCGACTGCGTTTACGAGAATGAGCGTCGAGACGGGTACTATTGACATAATTCTGTGTGTATGTGTCTGTTCAAACATGAGGAGATGCGAAAGACGAATCAACTCAGTCTGATACACGTCTCTCTGTGTGTGCACACGCTTTGCACGTGTGCGGCAGAACTGAAGATAACGCTGTATGAGATGCGGCTTGTGTGCGCGCTTCAGGTGTGTGTCAGACGGCAAAGAGTTGTTTTCTGTAACTTATTGCACTTAACTCTTTTTAACATCAAGCCATTCTCTGCTATATGCGTCGAACTAAAACTTTGACCTTTTGCAATGTTTTGATTGAAGTAGCCTATTATTAAAATGATTCAGATATCGCACACCATTGCGATATGCATATTGCGATATTTCATAGAGCGATGAAGAGCGGCAGACATGCTGCGGAGACTCAAGGAACTGTTGCTACAAGTGCAATCATCAAGACCACCAACAAAATTCCTGAAGATAGTGTGTATCTGAATATGTAAGCACTCAACAGCCTTCATCTGGTCGCATCAATTTAATGCATACTTGCTGAATCTTACTGACCAAACGTTTTACTGACACTAAACACAATATTAATAAATACACATTAATTTATGCGAGTCAACTGAAAACACAGTATTAAACAGCAGAGAAATATGCGTGTAGCTCACCATTGTCTCCACCATGTTGGCTTTGTTGTTCCTCAGCGTCTTTACTGTGTGGAACACGTCCACGATGTTCTGCTGCTGGATCATCTCACAGATGCTACAGATGGCACAAAACGTCCCGCTGCGTCCTCCACCAGTCCTGAAGAGATCAACAACAATAAGGCACGAGAAACAAATCACACATCCCATAATGTCACAGATACGCAGAGTTAATATCCCATAAAATCACAGCTTGACTTGTGCTACATTTTTGAAGATCGCAGGCCTCGTGGCTCAAACCTTGAAGTGTGTCATTTTATTGTGATGTTACAATAGCTTCTAATATCTCAGTTTAATGTGCAGCCATTCATAGTTTCATTTCCTCGAAAAACACAAACACTGATGGCACATTACGCACGGTTTAGAAGTATAGTCTTCATCCGAACTGAGATTGCGAAAGTAAAAGGCTTGTAGTTGAATCTGGATGTTTGCTTGAACAGAGGACTTTGCAGAACTACTGGTAAATCAAATAACTACCACTGATCACGGGTCAGTTTTACCCCTGACTAGTATCAGTACAATGACATGACACAATCAAGTAGAAAATTGTCTTCAAAGTGATTCATGCCGTTTGCAGAACGTCAGCTTTACTGTGACATTTTAAAATAATTTCTCTCGGGGAAACTGCTCTGCATTCAACAGCTGAACTTTTTTTGACAGTGATGGGAAAGTAATGAAGTTGTCAGATCTTTTGTATCTCTCTGGCTTTAATTTGTGACACTGATAAGATTGTCCTTGGCTCAAAGGCTGTACGGTTTTATCCTTTCGTCCTTTTAAAGCTGCAGTTTTAATCTGCGATTTTGTACCGACTGCACAGTGCACACAGACTTGGATGAAAAGCTGTGAAATACACATCTTGAATGATCAAAATGTGCTTCATTAAACTCTTATTAGCTACAACAGACAGTGTCTTACATATGTTAAAATCTATAGACAAATCTGTATGGCATTATTAAAGGAACAGTTCACCCAAAAATTAGAATTTGTTCTTCAGGCCATCCACAGATTTTGAGACATGTAGCATTACATTACTTATTTGCCAATGGATCCTCTGCAGTGAATGGGTGCCATCAGAATGAGAGTCCAAACAGCTGATAAGAACATCACAATAATCCACAAGTAATCCACACCACTCCAGTCCATCAATTAACGTCTTGTGAAGTGAAAAGCTGCATGTTTGTAAGAAACAAATCCATCACTAAGACGTTTTTACTTCAAACCATAATGCATAATCCATAATAAGGCTTGCTCCAATAAAAAGCCATCCCCTGTTGTTCTCTCACATCAAAATCCAATAACATAATTGTTTAGAACTGTTTTGGACTGTTTTCATTAGTAAACTGTGCTTGATCTGTGCGTATTTCCCTCCTGATTCAGTCAAGACGACTTTTCCACTGGAGGATGCATTATTATTGATAGAGGACTCGTTTAAAGTTAAAAACATCTTAATAATGGATTTGTTTCTAACAAACACACAGTTTTTGGCTTCACTGGATGTTAACTGATGATCTGGAGTGGTGTGGATTATTGTGATGTTTTTATCAGTTGTTTGGACTCTCATTCTGACGGCACCCATTCACTGCAGAGGATCCATAGGTGAGCAAGTGATGTAATGCTAAATTTCTCCAAATCTGTTCCAATAAAGAAACAAACTCATCTACATTTTGGATGGCCTGAGGAACTATTCCTTTGATTACATATAGTGTAAATTTAAGATGTCGGTAACACTTTAGTATAGGGACCAGTTCTCACTATTAACTAGTTGCTTATTAGCATGCCTATTATTAACATATTGGCTGTTTATTAGCACTTATAAAGCTAATAAACAACAATAATAATATTCCGCATGACCATATTCTATGCCCCTAATCCTACCCAAGTTCAAGTTCATTTATTTATAAAGCACATTTTAAAAACAGCCACAAGATACACCAAAGTGCTGTGCATAAAAATCAGACCATAAATGAATAAAACCAAAAAGTAATGACAGATAAACGTTTTGAAGACAGAGTAATAATCAAGACCATAATACAGCGTAATGAGAATATTAGTAGGCCAGGTTGAACAAGTGTGTTTTTAAAAGTGACTTGAAAATGGATAGGGAAGGTGCCACTCTAATCTCAATTGGCAGATTTTTCAATAACCGAGGCCCAACCACAGAAAAAGCTCGATCCCCTCTGCGTTTAAGTCTGGACTGTGGGACTAAAATGAGATTCTGATCACTGAATCTTAGACTTCTAGTGGGAGTATAAAAATGCAGCAGCTCTGAAAGATAACTAGGGGCTTGGTTATGTAAAGATATATACACCAGTAAGAGAACTTTATAATCGATTCTAAATTGAATAGGCAACCAATAAAGGGCCCTCAGTATAGGGGTGATGTGGTCACATTTGCGACCATTTTGAAGAAATCTAGCAGCAGCGTTTTGGACCAATTGTAGGCGAGTAATTTGTGACTTTGAAATACCGCAATATAGTGAGTTGCAGTAATCTAAGCATGAAGTAATAAAAGTGTGGACACCCATCTCTAACGTTGTAACATTTAAAAAGTGTTTGATTTTAGACAGCAAGCGGAGTTGGTAAAAACTGGAACCAATTACAGAAGATATATGTTTATCGAATTTTAATGACTCATCAAAATGGACGCTGTGATTTCGCACACGAGAAGATCTGAAGGCTGATAAGCTGCCCAGATCTAGGCTGGTAGCCTGAGAATGATCAGTAGGACTGAAGACAATCATCTCTGTTTTATCTTCATTTAACATTAAAAAAATTTCAGCTAGCCAGATTTTGACCTTGTCTAGGCACCTTTGTAAAGTACTAAGTGCTGAAGGATCATTTCTCTTAATAGGTAAATAAATCTAAAGTGTGGACACCCATCTCTAACGTTGTAACATTTAAAAAGTGTTTGATTTTAGACAGCAAGCGGAGTTGGTAAAAACTGGAACCAATTACAGAAGATATATGTTTATCGAATTTTAATGACTCATCAAAATGGACGCTGTGATTTCGCACACGAGAAGATCTGAAGGCTGATAAGCTGCCCAGATCTAGGCTGGTAGCCTGAGAATGATCAGTAGGACTGAAGACAATCATCTCTGTTTTATCTTCATTTAACATTAAAAAAATTTCAGCTAGCCAGATTTTGACCTTGTCTAGGCACCTTTGTAAAGTACTAAGTGCTGAAGGATCATTTCTCTTAATAGGTAAATAAATCTGGGCATCGTCAGCATAAAAATGAAAAGTCACCCCATGCCTTCTTAGAATGGAACCCAGAGGAAGCATGTACAGGGGAAAAAGAGAGGGCGCCAATATCGAGCCTTGAGGGAGGCCACAGGTGAGATGAGCAACAGGGGAATATAAATTACCTAATTTGACAAAAAAAAATTCTGTCAAATAAAAATGACTGAAACCACTTAAGGACCGTACCTTTTAGGCCCATGTCTGACTCTAATCTAGATATCAGAATAGAGTGGTTCACAGTATCAAATGCTGCTGATAAATCTAAAAGAACCAGGACCACAGAATCACCAGAGTCGGTAGCTAAAAGGATGTCGTTTAACACTCTGAGAAGGGCTGTTTCAGTACCATGAGCAGATTTGAAACCAGATTGAAAAATTTCAGAAATACAGTTACGATTTAGAAAGAACTGCAGTTGGTCAAACACATTTTTTTCTAAATCCTTTGAGATAAATGGCAAAACAGAAATGGGAGAAAAAGGCTTCTTGAGAAGTGGAGTGACAGTAGCCACTTTAAGAGTAGCAGGAACAGAGCCATTTAAAAGGCACTTATTGAAAAAGACACCAAACCTGGCCCAACAATGTCAGCAATTAATTAAAAAAAATTAGGATGCATGATGTATGAAGGACAAAAAGATGGTTTAATATTAGCAATGATGTCTTTGAGTGATTGTAAGGAAATGGTTTCAAAAACAACCCAAGAAACAGGATGCCGAGAAAAAGGAGGGGGTTCAGTATGGAGAGAACAGACTTTGGGATCTCAAATTAGAGATTTTGTCAATGAAGTGTCTCAAGAAGCTTTCACATAGAGCATCGGAGGCAACAGGCACTGTAATAACAGAAGGATTAACAACAGAATTAATAACTGAAAACAGAACTTTAGAAGTAGAGTGTTTTTTTTATTAAATCAGAAAAACAAGTCTTTAAACAACTGAAATGAAATATGTAATTTATCCTTTTTCCATTTGCGCTCGGCCTTTCTACAAGCCTCTCGTAGGAGTCGAGTATCAGAATTTTGCCACAGAACAGATTTAGATTTGTGCTTATAAGGCTTGACTGGGGCAGTGGCATCTAAAACATCCAGCCAGGCAGAATTGAGAAGACTTGGATGTTGGTCAGCATCCAGGTCAGGTAGCGGTAGATCCAGAGATGAAAACAAGACTCCATAAAACACTGATTAAAATCTGACCCAAACTTAGAAGAATAGGCCCGAGACAGCGTTACAGCTTTCTTAGTAAAATGAGAGAGATTAGCAAGAGACGTAGAAAATCAAATCGGCTTATGGTCAGAGAGCAGGAAATCAGATATCTCAATATCAGAAACAGTACACCCATGAGAGAGTACAAGATCTAAAATATGTCCCTGAACATGAGTGGAGTCCTTTATCCATTGAAAGAAACTAAAAGAGTCAATAAGATTGAGAAACCCCTTCGATAACGGGTTTGACTGACAGCAAACATGGATGTTAAAATCGCCCACTAATAAAAAGCGGTCGTACTTTGTGGCAATATTGCTGACAAATTCAGTAAATTGCTGTATGAAGTCCTTTGCTGAGTGAGGAGGACGGTAAATCACCCCTAATACTACTAGTGGAGACGTGCTGAAATTGCGTTTGGTCTCGTACTGTATCTCGTACCTTGTCAGTGTCGTGCGCTTTGCTTGGCCATTTGTTGGGATAAACAGGAAAGTGTGTTCAAGCGCCAGCAAAACAGTGTAAAGAAATACTCTTTGTGAGAAGCAGTCAACCAGCAGAAGTTAAAAGCAGCTTGTAAGTGTATTTATTTCTTGTCTTGGACAAATGGACTATTTCTTGGCTTGGCCATTTGTTGTGATAAACAGGAAAGTGTGTCCAGCTGAATTCAATTTGAGTTTTGTTAAACGAATAAAAAAGAAGCTTAGTTTACCGCGGAAGCGGTCGCGGCTCGTGTGAAGACCGAAGACTGTAAAGACCATCGACTCTACCGTGCGACTCCACCGGGAAGGGACACCGGCAAAAGATAAGTATCGCTTTTTATTTCTCCTCTTTCCAACTACTAGTTTCACTTCTGTTTCAGTTTTTTTATAACCATTTCTTACTATGTGTCAGTAAGTTGTTGTTATTTTAGCATGTGTGTTTGGCTGCAATATAACAAAGAGTGAAAAATTTAAGGGGGTCTGAATACTTTCCGTACCCACTGTATATATATATATATATATATAGTATTTATAGAGTTTTAGCTTTTAGTTTTAATTACTTTTTCTTATTTGTAAGTCGCTTTGGATAAAAGCGTCTGCTAAATGACTAAAAGTAAAAGTAAAGTAAAAGTAATAAAACGGGACCATTCCAGTCGAGATGGAGAAGCTGAACTTCAAAACTGGCAAACACATCCACTGAAACAGACCGACAGCACTCAAGAAAAGAGTCTTTTAAAATAGTTACTAGCCCACCCCCTTTTCTGGTCGGGCAGGGAGAATTAAAAAAGCTGCAGTCAGCCGGAACCAATTTGGAAAAAGGAGTAAAATCACCAACCTTGGTCCAGGATTCAGTGATGAACATAAAATCCAGACTATGAGTAGTGAAGAAATCGTTTAGCAGAAAGGTCTTCTTCACCAAAGATCGAGCATTGATTAGAGCCATTTTTGGCGGGGGAATCACATCCAGAGAAAGTGATGCTTTGCTCAGCGATCGCAGGTTACCGGGATTCACTCTGTTGCGCTTACTGATCCGAGGAAGGCCATCCAAGGAGACAGGGGACAGAGACGGGGAGAACAGTTTGAAGCCACCAATAAGGCGAAACCAGCAGCCGCCAGGCAACAGGACTGCGGCAGAACGACTCACAGGAAAGACCAGACCAGAAGCCAGCCCGAAGGTGTGCCTTCAATTTGATGGTAAGTCCTCCCTGACACCCGCGTTTTCTCCTACGCTTTCTCCGTGAAGTGCAGAGAGGTCACTGGCGGATACACGCCGGAATATCCATTGAAAGGTTAACATGCGTTTGATTAAAAACGCTCCACGTCCGTCTTATAACTGTCCATAAATGAGGCACGAATATCCAGTAGTGATTGTCGGTCATAAATCAAAAGTGCGGCAAACAAAATTTCGAAAACCAAACAGACATCCATACACATAAAAAAAGGAGCAGCTGATGGCATGCCAAACACAGGCGCCATCTTGAATCTTAGATTCAAGCAATACCTAAACTAAACAACTACCTTACTAACTATTAATAAGCAGCAAATTAGAAGTTTGAGGCAAAAGTCATTGTTAATGGTTTGTTAATAGTGAGAAATGGACCTTAAAATAAAGTGTTACCAAGATGTCATCAAAAATGTACTATATTTCAGGTTCATACAGCACACACCACATAACATTATCCTGCTATGTGTTTTGCTATGTTTCTATTAATATTGTCCAGTCATATCTGCTCATCACAGGGTTTCTCCAAACAAGACTCACTCGTTCATACATGAACATGTTTATGGTTTTATGTATAACAGCTTTGTGTTGTGATGGAGCTGGTGTTGTGGAGGTCACACTCACAGACAGTGGACCACCGTGCGTCCGTCTCCTCCGTCATACTGCTCCTGCCACTTAGCCAGCCGTCTGACCAGCTGCAGAATGGAGCGTTTGGACAGCGGCGTGTCTCTGTACGCCGGCCAACCAATATATTGGAAATGCTGGACCAGCCGGTAGCCGTCTTGAAGCTGGAAGCAAAACAGGAGACGTTTTGAGAACATATTTCCAGAAAACATTTATGTCAACTCCTGCTTCACAAAGTGAAAGTTTTGAACTTATAGTATAAGACTGACACCCCATAGTCAAGAGAACCCACATAAAGACATCTTTTTGAAACTAAAATGAAAATGAAAAGGACTACTTATTCATATTAATATTGATTTAAATATCTCAGTGGTCTCTTAGACAGCCATGAGATTAAATGGAGATACATGGGGAGGTTCAGAAGAGATCTCTACAATGTCTCAAAGTCCTTAGATTTTGCCAAGATATTAAAGTCTGCAAGCCAAATTAAAGATCTCAATATAACCTCAAACATTTATCATCAAATTTGTCCTCAACAGATGATCTGAGCTGCTATTCACATTAATTTTATAGCTCTATAACTTTTAAACTTTAAAAAAAAAAAGATTTTTTTGAAGTTGTACATAATGATTATTGGAATATGTTTTACAAGAAAATACTATTTCAGTCTTTCTACATTAATTTCATTATTTATGTGTTACTTGCCATTGTTTTGTAATTAATGGTACAATTTACTAGCAATTTCTGATTGAAAATGGTTTCTACACCAATATTTTAGTGTACTGGATATGAGCTATTGACTGATTTATGCTTAAATTAAACGTAACTAAGAACTCAGGTCTCCTGAGCTTTGAGAGAGCAACCTTGGAACAATAAGCAACTGAAAGCTGGTTTGGAAAACGATTGTAACCATTTTGTCTGTATATATAACATTCACACTACCTCCGATTCTTGCAGTGACACTGAAAAGCAAAAAATAAAACATCAAAACAAAAGCGAAAGCAAACAGAGATGTCAGCTGGATACTGCAGTCAGACCGGATCAGCTAAATGAGAGTCATATTACACACAATTTGCCATCGATGGAGCCATTTCATGGCAAATTTGTGATGCTGTGGCACTTATTTATTTTGTGCTGCTATGCTACGCCGGCACTGATTAGCTACCGGGTAAACCTCGCCTGTCACCGGCGGTTAAAGAGAATGAGGGGGAAGAAAAGAGAAGGGAAGCAGGAGGAGGCGGGATGAGTCTTCTGAAACGTTTGATGCTCGAAACACATCAAGCTTCAGTAATGACTGCTAATGTGCACGAACAGAAAGCTCAAGCTAACTCACATGGAAAAGAAGAAAAACTGCACAAAACCCATCCGTGGCTTATATCAGCAATGGCAGGATGGTGGTCAAATGTTTATGTGATTATTGTGCTCTTGCATATGTGTCTGGCAGAACGAATCACGTTCAAAGATGCATGACGTGCTGAGTGTTGAAATCATGTGGATTGAAAGGACTATATAGTCGTGGCCTCTTTCTGGCTTATAACGTAATTTCTCACATCACTAACTCAGGGTCATAATCTCAGCCGCTGTTGATTTACTGTCGCATTAGGAGCCAACTCAAAGTGATTTAAGTGAATTTTTATCTCTTCTTGATCTCTAGGATTTTGGTTTTCAAAAAGCAGTTTTATTTTAGTGAGTCACGGTCAGGGTGGATTGATACCAGGCACAAAGTACATCAGGACTTTCAGGGGGTTCAACTTGGCTTGAGGTTCATCATCAGGAAACCTGTTTGAAAACCATCAGTATTTCGTCCACTTCAATTTGGTGAAGCTTTTTTTTTTTTTAAACAAAACACTGCAGATTATAGTTTTAAAGTACAGATTTCTGATAAATACTGTAATGACATCACTTGTTGACAAATCATTTGACAGGAATAATTTGAGCAGCTGTTGCTATGGTTTCTCCTCAGGTCAATGTGACTTCTGTTCACCAGCATCTGTTTAGCAGCAAGTAAAAATGCATACTAATTTTAAAACTTATTTTTTGTTTCGTTACTGAAATGTTGTTTGTAATTTTTTTAATATTGTTTTTTTTTTCATTAACTGGGTTAATATGTATCACAGTTTCTGCAAAAATATTTAGCAGAACAATTGTTTTCAACATTCAAATCATGATTTCTGAAGGATCATGTGACACTGAAGACTGGAGTAATGATGCTGAAAATTCAGCTTTGTCATTACAGGAATAAATTATAAAAAAAAAACAATATTTTACAATATTACTGTTCAAATAAATCAAATAAAAGAGACTTGCTTTACAAAAAAAAAAAAAAAAAAAAAATTTTTACCAAATGGCATATATAAAAATTTC